AAAGCAGCGTTAGGTGCCTGCTGAGGGCTCCGTGTGGCAGTGGCAGGCACAGGCTCCCTGCCCAGCGCCACGCGTGCCCACCGACCCACAGCACAAAAGCACAGCTTACACACGCTCAAACAATACTTTTCCCCCACAGAGTTGTTTCTCAGCACAACAGTGACAAACAATCAAAACTTTACATATTAAGAGATGAATAAAATCTCTATTGATCCACTTTTACCATGGCTGCTCAACACCAGAATTCTTCTTTCATTAGCTGATAAAAAAGCAAAATTTTTCTCCATTTTTAGGTGTTCTCGTTCCAACTGACTGCAGTTTGATTCTGAAGCACAGGGTGAAACAAACTGTAGTCTTGAAAGAATGAGGACTGTCTTATTACAGGAAAACATACCTAAAAAATATCAAAGGACTGCTCTGCAAGTAAGCTCTAAATATAACAAGTAAATATACATCTTTTAAAATAAAGCATAGGTCTTGAAACACAACTGTAAATTCTTAAACTAAAATAATTCACTTCCAGTTAATAAGTAAAATAAAGAGTTAACTTTCAGTAACTACTCCAGCTTTTAATTCATAAAGGGGGCAAAGTAAGTAATAATGGCAATTTTTCAAGACACATTTGATGAAATAAAAGTCATATTCAAAAAACTGAGGCCAAACCCAGATTTTAATTGCTCTAGAGATGTCCTGTGATATGTCTAATATCTACATAATAGCACACTTATGGGGGAAAGGCAGTAACTCATGTTCAGCAATTCTAAATGCAGAAAGCAAAAAAAAAAACAAAAAAGAAAAATCATGCCGTTAACTTGAGTCACAGACAAATCTGGGTAACAGACTCACTGAACCATTCTGACAGAATTCTGTTAATCTCTCATTCCTTCTGACTCACACCGAACTCCACCACTTCATATGAAGACTTTTTTCTTTTTAAATTTAGAGGTTTTTTAAATGTTATTATTATATTACTTAAATACAAGTTCCAGCCTCCATCACATGTTGTCAACTGTAAGAGTTCAGAATTCCTGTGCCACCATGAAACGCCACTGAGAGCAGCTTTTGACCATTCCTACACAAATATAGGCTAACAGTTTGAGGAGTAAGATAACATCAAATTTTCCTACTGATGGAAATGCAGGATTTCTTTTTAGTTAAAAATATACAGAGAGACAGCTGTGCTACAGTTACTCTTGCTATCTACAGACGTCCAGGGAATTTTTAACAGTTATTAATGTACAAGGTAACATGTACCTGAGCTTCCCACTGCTGTATTTTCTACAGGTTTATTTTCAGGGAAGAAATTGAGGAATATGATCCTTCTAACTAACTGTTCAGTTTGCAGTTAGGGTTATTTAAGCAATAAACCAAAACCACATTTGGTTAAAAAAAAAGCTGTTGAGACATGCAATTAAATGACCTTATTTTCAGGTACTTTAGCATTACCATATATCCCAACAATCCAGGACTCAAAAGAACTATTTGAGTAAGCTGGTCTCACGGAATGTGTCCCTGCCCCAGGCAGGGTGGTTGGAATAAGATGACCATTAAGGTCCCTTAAAGTATTCTGGGATTTTATGATATAACTAATACCTGTGAAACTGCATTATATGTACTGAATTTATTCTTGGTTTTCCTAAATACTTGCTATCCTAAGTAATCCAGACAAGTAGAGTGCACTCTCTATGTGTGCAGCACACTAAAACAGACAAAATAACTCATAGATGTTATTCATTCCAGTTAACTCAGCTTCAAGGTAACCAAAAGAGGTAACACCACAGGAAAACCACATCCAATATGAAATTTTCAGAAGACAGAATGAAGGTATTTTGCTTTGCTGTTACATCATAAAGGCCATCAATAACAGACACATGTCTCCATCCCATTTTACATCTTTTTTCTACTAGCCGATACAAAGACCTTGTCAAAATAACATGCAAATAATTAAGGCTCTAAAAATACATTAAGGGCTCTTAATTTATGTTTTTTATTGTCTTCGAAGAGCTTCCTAAGGAAATAAAAAGATCAGCCATGGAAAGTCTAAATGCTAGCAAAATCAAAAATAGACAGAAAAAAGGCTTGTTTTAATGCATTACTCCAGCCAAATTAAAAAATTAAAAGCAAAAAGCCATGGATTTATATTCATACCTAAATTAAAACATTAACCGAAATGTATCAACATGCAAAATATACCGATCTAAAATATGCTCTTAAAACCAAAAAATTAAAACAACTCTGCATGAACAAAATCCCAAAGGAATCTGCAAAGGCTCCCAAGCCCCATATGTGAGCTGGTGCTTTAGACACCCCCAGTAGCAGGGAAGGGCTGAGGGATCCCGTTTGTACCAACGTACCCGCCTGGCACAGAACCTGCGGGGCGATCCTCCCTTAGCCATGGAGCACAAGAGAGGAGAGCAGAGTCACCCTCGCTGCAGGCAGCTCCTGTCTGTGTGTGTGTGCCCA